CTTGGGAATCGTAGTAGTGACTGTGGATAGGTATTGAGGTGGTGTGTGAGAAATAAAGTAATGTGTTAGGAATGGAGGATGGAATTGATAGGGAACTGTGTAGGAAATGAGGGTGAGTTCCCAGTTCTGCAAGGAATTGATTAGTTTTTGCTGTATTTTTCAGGAACTGTAGGAATTCCTAAAGTACGGTACCTTGGACACCCCTCGGAAATTAATAGAAACAATTGGCGATCCCACTACGGCTCTTCGAACGACCTGTGAAACAATCTCAACTTCCAACATTGTTGGCATTGTTGGACCAGTTGTCTCAAGAGAAGCTCATGTTATTGCACCCTTTGATGCAAGTATCGGGATTCCAACGATATCCTACGCTGCAACTGATCCTGAACTATCCGACCGAATAGCTAATCCAACTTTTTACCGTACAGTTCCATCGGACAATGATGCAGCATCGACTATAGTTAATCTTTTTCTTAAATTCAATTGGACAATGTGTATCATCATTTATCAAAATGATGAATTCGGAACGGGAGGTTATAAGGCAATTTCTAATGCATTTCTCCGCAATAATGTAACCGTTACAGAAACGATGATCTTTGATTTGAACACACTGTCTATTCGTGGTGATTTAAAAAGTACGTTAACTGGTAGTTTAACAAGAATTGTAATTGTATGGGCTGATACAAGTTATGCAACATTCATCCTACAAAGTGCTCTCAAAGCAGATGTGGTGGGCCCACTTTTTACATGGATATTAGGTTCTGATGTTCCACTGACAGCTTTTGATGAAATCTCGTATGATCGTTTGGTTGGAGTGCTTACGATTGGTCCCGTCGTCGGAAATTTAGCTAATGCACCGATAAATCAAACGCTGTTGAATGATGCATACAGTATTTGGCAGAAGTATGAACCTGAATCATTTCCCGGTGCAGCGAATGTTAATTATTATGCATTGTTTGCATTCGATGCAGCATGGACGTTGATTCAATCGTTTGCACAATTGTGTCCCAATAGCACTGTATCATCATGCATTACATTTACGAATACGTCGTTTTGTTTCGATCGACGTGTTCTGCATATCCATTCGATATTTGACATCATCAACACAAATACTTTCCTGGGTGTCTCAGGTCCTGTCCAGTTTTCGGCAAACACAACAGACCGAGTAAACGGCATCTATTATATCGTGCAAAATGTACAACGTGTTTCACATACCCTAAAGTATGTTCCAGTTCTAATATCAACAAGCTCAGCTGCATGGACACCACAAGCACAAACGAATGTAATTGTTTGGCCTGGCCAATCACTAACTGCACCAACAGGTTACGCATCGCTTCAAGGTGTCACGTTATATATTGCTGTTATAATCACACCACCATTCACTATGATGAAAGAATACGTAGATCAATACGGATTAACACAGACGAAACCGATTGGATATATTCCCGATTTGATTGAGCTCTTGCAAAAGCAAATAGGATTCGTTCCAAATATTACAGTATTGCCAGAAAACACCACATACAATAGTTTACCCGATTTAGTAGCGAATAAGGTTTATGATCTAGTGATGGGCGATGTCACAATTCTGTCGTCACGAAGAATAAAAGCGGCTTTTTCTGATTCAATCTTCGATAATTCATTACGTATTCTGACTCGACAAAAAGCCGGAACAGTAGTTCATCGATTTGGTTTTCTCCGTACATTTGAATTAGCCTTATGGATGGTTATCCTTGCTTGTCTTATATGGTCTGCTTTTCTATTTTCCTTCTACGAAGGAAATGCACATACAGATTTACGAAATAAATCAATTCTATCACGCATAGGAATGAGTATTTGGTTTGCTTTTGGGACACTTATTGGATATGGCGCTGATTTTCATACAAGATCAGCTGCTGGCCGAGTTTTAACCATTGGCATATACATTACAAGTCTGGTCTTAATCAGTGCATACCAGGCATATTTCACCGCAAGTATAACTGTTTCCATAGCACAAAGTTCTTTCTCTGGAATTGATGATATTAAAAATGGAAAAGTTCCGTACAATCGAATCGGTATTATCAGTGGTTCAGCCATGGAAGAATACTTCCTTCGTGAAATATCTGATGGCAGTCATACTTATTACATTCTAAGAGACAAACAAGACATGTTTGATAAACTATTGAGTGGAATAATCGATGTCTCGATCATGGACACGGGGTTTGCCGAATTTGCTACAAGTTCCATCTATTGTAATTTGACTATTGTTGGTACAGGTTTTGATCAAAGTCAATTCGGGATCATTTATCCCACGAAATGGTTATATGAACAAGCTTTAGACGTGTCAATACTATCATTGCGTGAAAAAGGAGTATTCAACGATCTAAAAAGTAAATGGTTTCAAACCAATAATTGTACAAGTGCGTCAACGGACACATCTGTGAGGTTATCACTTGAAGCGCTAACTGGCTTATTCATTGTCTTCGCAATATTTAGCGCACTTTCGATGCTGATGTTTCTATGGGTGAAATGCCGTCCGTTGCGTAAATGTATACGACAACGTCGATCGAGAAATGCCGTTATTCCCAATCCTGTATATCGTCCATATGCTCAGCATCTACCCTACATTGCTGGATATCAACACGTATGAAACCGTTCATTATATGAAGTTATCAATCAATAATCATTCTGCAATTCTATTATTTCCTATTTTAAATAGTTGTAATTATAACGATGAGTCAATATATTGAGAAAATCACGATATGATACAAGTATTTCCTGTATGTTACGAAATTTCGTTCGTTAGCGTGTGAGGCAAAAAGAATATTGGTGGAGGCAGTGGGAATCGAACTCACGACCTATCGCACGCACTTCGATCGCTCTACCACTGAGCTACACCCCCGATTCGAATGATCGTACAGTACTAAAACAATACGTAGTTTGAACTGAAAGAATAGAAAAGGTTAACAGATTGAGATATTAAATTACGGGTGTGAATGCTGTGTGTGATACATGCATTCAAATCTGCACTGACAAGAATAAATTTGAGTCAATATTGTTTTGATCTAGTTTTATTTCATGCGTAATTTCATAATGTAAGTAGATATAAAATATTTGCCTTAAAGATGAATATGATTTAATCGGATAGGTGACTATGTCGATAAGAATTTATTGAAAAATAAAGAATACTCGATGCTGTTGAGGTCTTTTAGTAAATGAATAGATTTGTGTGAGTATATATACATTTGATAAACGAGATATGAATGAATAAAACATACTTAAAGTACAATTTGATTCACACAATATTTACTCTTCGATAAGTGTTCCCAATCCGATATAAATGAGAGAAATGAAGGTAATAGTCAGTATTCTCAATTATTCAATAAGCAATGACTATTCGTACGACACTTGCTACAATGTTATTCGTTGTTCTTCTCGCACAAATATGCGGTAGGTATTTCTCGCCGTAATCAAGTGATTCAATGTAAGCATCATACTTGTTGTCTTTCATCTCAGAAAATGCCAATGGGCAAAAATGTCCTGAAGCAGAAGGTGCGTGTGTAGGTCTGGGTGGTGGCGATCTTTGCAATGATCGCTGCAAAGCATGTGGCTATAAGAAAGGAGAATGTGGAGGCACGTTGTGGCAAACGTGCCAATGTTTTCGTACTCGCGCTGAATTACTTGCAGCACGTGCCCGTGATGAACTTCTTCGTACGATGGTAGAAGAAAACGATTCTATCTGTCCAGATGAACCCGAAAAATGCCGAGAACAATGTAAAACCAATGGACACCTCACTGGTCGATGTCTTGCCGATCGTTGCAAATGCTTGTAACTGGAATTCTTTTTTCGTGAACTGAATGTTTATTATTTTGATTTGAAAAAATAACAGATGAAAAATGAAAAGAATTTCAACTACAATTGATATGACCTAATAAAGAAGATAATGTAATTGACTGTCACATGGGTAAGCTTTGCTACTGAAGAGCGCGATTTAGTAACAATTCTCATAAAACGAATGTGGGCAAGAGCAGCGAAAGATCAATCGCGATACTCAGAAGACTCATTCCCCAGGTTTATTGTTTATATATTCTCTTCTCAATAGGCTATAACCATTTGAGCCTTCATTACTCGTAGTTATCCTACTTGATCGCGCGCTTTGCTGATTTACATATGAGCACAGAAAAAGTAATTGTTGTTTTAGCAGATCCATGTTATTCTGAACAGTTCTGGTGGTGAGATGATTTTCATACAGTGATATCTTGAAGATATTCATAGCAGCCTATAAATATATCAGTGTCTTCCAACAATCATCGGCATTGTGATAGAGAGATACTAGATTATTATAACAAGTATCCAATGATGGATGACTAAGAGAAATAGGTTTTTCCTTGATAGATGTATCGGAAAAATAAGTGTTGTACAGAGCGGAGAAGAAAAAAGTGACCGACTACATTATTTTTCTCACAAGCTGCTCGCTCACCCTATATTAAATTTGTCTACTATCGACAGACCAAACATTGAAAGATTCACTTGCATGAAAATTAATGTTTCGAAACTATTTTTTTCCGTCTATGGGCATCTTTTACGAGGAAAAAGTGCATAGCATAAACCAATAAAGATAAGAGATGCTTTTTATTATCGACAGACTTTCTGCATATGTACACATGCTCTATACTGGTCACAATTGGAACGAATAGTGATGCTAGTCAATTTCTTTCAAGTATGACTCGTGAAAATGATCACGATAATCTCTTCGCTTAATTCATCACAGAATATACAAAAGAAAATATTGCAGATTCCAAGATCAACTCATTCTGCATAGATGTTTCGTGTATATTCTATCCTTTTATTGACATTAAAAAAAAGAAACATGTATTTTTCTTCTGTCTTCAGAAAGATATCTGTTATCAACGGTAGTTACATTTTCTTCGACTGATAATCACTCATACTGCGAAAAGATCTCCAAAGAAACGTATGACATGGGATGNAATTTGCTACAGGTTCTATCTATTGTAATTTGACCATTGTTGGTTCAGGCTTTGATCAAAGTCAATTTGGGATAATTTATCCTATGAAATGGCCGTATGAACAAGCTTTAGATGTGTCAATATTATCATTGCGTGAAAAAGGAGTATTCAACGATCTGAAAAGTAAATGGTTTCAAATAAATAATTGTACAAGTTCGTCAACGGATATATCTTTGAAGTTACCACTTGAAGCGCTAACTGGCTTATTCATTGCCTTTGCAATATTTAGCGCACTTTCAATGCTGATGTTTCTGTGGGTGAAATGCCGTCCATTGCGTAGATGTGTACGACGATATCGACGACCAAGAACAAGAAATGGCATTGTTCACAACCCTGTGTATCGTCCATATGCTCAACATATACCCTTTATTGCTGGATATCAACACGTATGAAACCGTTCATTATATGAAGTTATCAATAAATAATCATTCTACTGCTTCATTATTTCCCATAGGTAAATGGCATCAGGCACTCATTGCTCATGATTATCCTATGTTATTATGTGCTTTGCTGATTTTACACCTAAGCAGAGAAAAAAACAAAATAATTACATGAATAAAATTTAGAATAGTTGTTTTAGCATACTAATTTTATTCTGAGCAGTCATTGATGCTGGAATGGTTTTCAGGCAGTGATATCTTGAGGATATTCAGAGCAAGTTGTAAATACGTCAGTGCCTTCGGAGGAGAGAGAGGAAGGAAACCACGATGTGAAAGGGAGAAAACAAGCTACTTCCTCCTTTTTTCCCCGAATGTATCACTAGATGTAAATGAAGTAGAAAGGATATGCCGCTTGACTCATATATTTACACCTATTATATATTATGAACAGATTCTGGAATATCTATATACGTATGTGATACTTTCGATGCACACATCAATGAGTTGAACAATGTGCTGAACGTAGCCTATATGAGAACGGACACCTTTATACACGCACTTATAATGACATAAAGAGAAAAAGGCCAATGCTCGGTGAATAGGTTACCCGTGGACGAAGTGTATAGGTTAGTAGTCAGCAAATAGTGACGGAGCCAGGATTTTATGGTGTGCTGGATCTTCGTGCCAGAGCATGGGCCTCAGTTAAAACTCATGGATGATAATATTGGTGGCAAACTATGAGTTTCTATCGAGAGATTTTTACGATCGGAATTTGCTAAAATAATTAGTATTTTCCTGAGCCCTCAAGAAAATATTCAATACTGTCAGCACTGTCTTACTTTTGAACATGCCACAGCAGGCTACATCGAATTTCACCAATAAATTTCAAATTTCATGTCAAAATGTCAATCCGTTCAAGAATTATGACGTTTTCAGACCCTTAGAAGCTTTGTAAAAACTGCAGAATATATTCAAAACGTCATAATTCTACTGTAGCATTTTTCTGGGGGGTTCAGGAAAATGCTAATCATTTTAGCAAGTTCCGATCGTAGAAATCTCTCGATAGAAACTCATAGTTTGTCACCAATATTATTATCCATGAGTTTTAACTGAGGCCCATGCTCTGAAACGAAGATCCAGCACACCATAAAATCCTGGCTCCGTCACTATTATATACTCACTCAACTTCAAAATACAAAAGGATGCTTTTGTTATTGATGTCATCCTCGTCAAATGCATTTCAGCGGTAGTATTCATTCACAAACGTGCTTTTTTTGCCTTTTATACAACTTTGTAAATATGGATACATGCACATGCTTTAAAATGTTCTGTTATATCCATGTAATTTATGTAATTTTAATGGCTTTTCAAAGTAAAAAAATATTCAAAGTAGATTTCGATTAGATATTCCACCACAAAATATGCTGACTTTTATCAAGTTCCATTCATGCGCATCGTGAGTCTTTCTTTTTGATCATGAGAAACCTCTTCATGGAATTGTGGTGTAATTTCTAATTGACTTGTCGACTGAAACGGATGACGAATGAAGATTAAAATGACGTCTTTTTCTGCTTTTCGAAAGATTGAAAGACGGATGTTGCCAGAAATAAACATTATCATAAGACAATTCATCATTACATCGCTCAGATATTCGAATAAAACTGGAAGGAAATCAACTATATCAAATCTTTTCTTGATTATTTCATACTGAAAGAATCATTTTTCGTATGCAGGTAGTTTTATCAAAGATTTATTTTCTCCAGAAATCAGATCATAATCAAAAAAACAAAATATTCCCTTGAAACTGAAAATATTTGTTCTTACATAGAATTCGACATGTGGTTTTTTGCTTGTTGTCAAATAAAATACTTCATATTTTTTTGTACGGATGATCGCCATTCGGAAGTGACACGGAAAAACAGAGAAATCAAACAGAAAATAGTTCTCCCAAACTTCGTTTGATTGATTATCTAACTAAAAGAAGCATTCTGTGCACAGAATAGTAAAAGAAATGTATCTGCATTTCTTGATCAACAAGGAATTGCTCCATGGCGAAACATGAACTGTGTCTAGAGCAGATGAACTCTTATTCGAAAGAGAATAAGAAAAAGAATACATTTTAGCAGTATCTCAGGACAAAATAATGTACGACAAATAAAAACATAAATTTCACAACATGATGAGCTTCTGCTGATCACATTCAAGCACTTTGTTATCTTCGTAAACTTTTCTTCTTGTTTTATGCGAAGAATTTCATACCTTTACTTTAGTGAGTATTTAAAAGTATTTCATTCTATTTTGTTTTAGTGTTTTTGCAAGAGTTTCGATCAGTTTGTGTTTTGATTCGACGAAAAACTGTGCCTTTGGTTTTTCGACCAACAGTTATTCGTATGATTCAGCACTGGTAAGATAACCACCGTTCTGTCCTCCAGTAACTAAAACCTTTCCACTCGATAACATTGTTGCTGTATGCTGATATCGGGAAATACTCATATTGTTAGCTGGTGTCCAACTATCTGTGGATGGATCATATATTTCAGCACCGTTGACAGAACCACCATCATTCCACCCACCAGTAATTAAAACCTTCCCATTCGATAACATTGTTGCTGTATGTTGATATCGTGCAATGCTCATACTATTTGCTGTTGTCCAATTACCTGTGAATGGATCATATACTTCAGCAGTGTTAAGATAAACAACACTAGTATATGCTCCACCAGTAACTAAAACCTTTCCGTTTGATAACATTGTTGCTGTATGTTGATATCGTGCAATACTCATACTGTTTGCTGTTGTCCAGTTATCTGTGGATGGATCATATAACTCAGTACTGTCCAGAGTAGCAATATTCCATCCGCCAGTAACTAGAATTTTTCCATTCGACAACGTTGTTGCTGCCCAGGTCAATCAATCAGACAATAAGATCGGTCTCAGATTCTTGTGCGATCATGTCTGTTATTGCGTGAAGATCGGACATGATCATGCATGATCATACGAAAAATCTGACGCAAAATCGTGNAATTTGCTACAGGTTCTATCTATTGTAATTTGACCATTGTTGGTTCAGGCTTTGATCAAAGTCAATTTGGGATAATTTATCCTATGAAATGGCCGTATGAACAAGCTTTAGATGTGTCAATATTATCATTGCGTGAAAAAGGAGTATTCAACGATCTGAAAAGTAAATGGTTTCAAATAAATAATTGTACAAGTTCGTCAACGGATATATCTTTGAAGTTATCACTTGAAGCGCTAACTGGCTTATTCATTGCCTTTGCAATATTTAGCGCACTTTCAATGATGATGTTTCTGTGGGTGAAATACCGTCCGTTGCGTAGATGTGTACGACGATGTCGACGACCAAGAAATGGCATTGTTCGCAACCCTGTGTATCGTCCATATGCTCAACATCTACCCTATATTGCTGGATATCAACACGTATGAAACAGACAATTGACTTTCCCATTGCAGTATGAAACCGTTCATTATATGAAGTTATCAATAAATAATCATTCTACTGCTTCATTATTTCCTATAGGTAAATGTCATCAGGCACTCATTGCTCATGATTATCCTATGTTATTATGTGCTTTGCTGATTTTACACCTAAGCAGAGAAAAAACAAAATAATTACATGAATAAAATTTAGAATAGTTGTTTTAGCATACTAATGTTATTCTGAGCAGTCTTAATGTTGGAACGGTTTTCAGGCAGTGATATCTTGAAGATATTCAAAGCAAGTTGTAAATACGTCGGTGCCTTCGAAGGAGAGAGAGAGGAAGGAAACCACGATGTGAAAGAGAGAAAACAAGCTACTTCCTCCTTTTTTTCAGAATGTATCACTAGATGTAAATGAAGTAGAAAGGATATGCCCCACTTGACTCATATATTTGCACCTATTATATATTATGAACAGATTCTGGAATATCTATATACGTAGGTGATACTTTCGATGCACACATCAATGAGTTCAACAATGTGTTACACTTAGACATTCCTTTTTACTGAACGTAGCCTATATCAGAACGGACACCTTTATACACGCACTTATAATGACATAAAGAGAAAAAAGGTCAATGCTCGGTGAATAGGTTACCCATGGACGAAGTATATAGGTTAGTAGTCAGCAAATAGTGGCGCAGCCAGGATTTTATGGTGTGCTGGATCTTCGTTTCAGAGCATGGGTCTCAGTTAAAACTCATGGATGATAATATTGATGGCAAACTATGAGTTTCTATCGAGAGATTTTTACGATCGGAACTTGCTAAAATAATTAGCATTTTCCTGAACCCTCCCCACCAGAAAATATTCAATACTGTCAGCGCTGTGTTACTTTTGAACATACCGCAGCAGGCTACGTCGAATTTCACCGACAAATTTCAAATTTCATGTCAAAATATCAATCCGTTCAAGAATTATGACGTTTTGAGATCCTTAGGAACTTCGTAAAAACTGCAGAATATATTCAAAACGTCATAATTCTGCTGTGGCATTTTTCTGGGGTTCAGGAAAATGCTAATTATTTTAGCAACTTCCGATCGTAAAAATCGCTCGATAGAAACTCATAGTTTGCCACCAATATTATCATCCATGAGTTTTAACTGGGACTCATGCTCTGAAACGAAAATCCAGCACACCATAAAATCCTGGCTGCGCCACTATTATATACTCACTCAACTTCAAAATACAAAAGGATACTTTTGTCATTGATGTCATGCTCGTCAAATGCATTTCAGCGGTAGTATTCATTCACAAACGTTCTTTGTTTGCCTTTTATACAACTTTGTAAATATGGATACATGCACATGCTTTACAATGTTCTACTATATCCATGTAACTTATGTAATTTTAATGGTTTTTTTAAGTACAAAATATTCAAAGCAGATTTCGACTAGATATTCCACCACAAAATATGCTGACTTTTATGAAGTTCCATTCATGCGCACCGTGAGTATTTCTTTTTGGTCATGAGAAAACTCTTCATGGAATTTTGGTGTAATTTCTAAAAGACTCGTCGACTGAAAAGGATAACGCATGAAGATTAAAATGACCTCTTTTTCTGCTTTTCGAAAGATTGAAAGACGGATGTTGCCAGAAATAAACATTAGCATAAGATAATTCATTATTACATCGCTCAGATATTCGAATAAAACTGGAAAATAATCAACTATATCAAATTTTTTCTTGGTTATTTCATACCAAAAGAATCATTTTTCGTATGCAGGTGGTTTTATCAAATATTTACTTTCTTTAGAAATCATATCAGAATCAAAATAACAAAATATTCTCTTGAAACTGAAAATATTTGCTCTTACATAGAATTCGACATGTGGCTTCCTTATTGTCAAATAAAATATTTCATATGTTTTTACTCTTTTGTACGGATGATCGAAATTTGGAAGTGGCATGGAAAAACAGAGAAATCAAACAGAAAATAGTTTCCTCTAATTTCGTTTGATTGATTTCCTAACTAAAAGAAACATTCTGTGCACAGAGAACAGTAGAAGAAATGTATTTGCATTTCTTGATCAACAAAGAATCATTGCATGACGAAACACAAGCTGTATCTAGAGCAGATGAACTTTTATTCGAAGGAAAACAAGAAAAAAGAATACATTTGAACAATATCTCAGGACAAAATAGTGTACCACAAATAAAAACATAAATTTCAAAACATGATCAGCTTCTGCTGATCACATTCAGACACTTCATTATATTCATAAACTTCACTTCTTGTTTTATCCGAAGAATTTCATACCTTTATTTTAGTGAGTATTTAAAGATATTTCATTCTATTTTATTTTAGCGTTTTTGCAAGAGTTTCCATCACTTCATGCTTTGATTCGACGAAAAACTGTGCCTTTGGTTTTTCGAACAACAATTATTCATATGATTCAGCACTAGTAAGATAACCACCATTCTGCCCTCCAGTAACTAAAACCTTTCCGATTGATAACATTGTTGCTGTATGCTGATATCGGGAAATACTCATATTGTTAGCTGGTGTCCAACTATCTGTGGATGGATCATATATTTCAGCACTGTTAAGATAACCACGATCATTTTGGCCGCCGGTAACTAAAACCTTTCCGTTTGATAACATTGTTGCTGTATGTTCAATTCGTGCATCACTCATACTATATGCTGTTGTCCAGTTACCTGTGGATGGATCATATAACTCAGTACTGTCCAGAGTAGCAATATTCCATCCGCCAGTAACTAAAACCTTTCCATTCGATAACGTTGTTGCTGTATGAAGTTGACGTCCAACACTCATACTATTTGCTGTTGTCCAGTTACCTGTGCTGAGATCATATAGCTCAACACTGTTGAGAGAACCAGCACCATTCTGTCCACCAGTAACTAAAACCTTTCCATCTGGTAACATTGTTGCTGTATGTTGACATCGTGGAACATTCATATTTCCCGTCGTCACCCATCCTAAAAAGAGTTACTCTTATAATCTAAAAAAATACTTAAAAAGAAGCAAACCTGCAGATTTTGTGTTGATCAGCGGAAATTTGATCAATTGATGAGAAGTTTGATTAACAAGAAATAGATTTCCAAGTGAATCAAAGGCGATTGTTGTTGGAGGACTCATTGGTGAACTGCCACACCCAAGAATGCAAGAGAATCCATTTGGTGTTTGTCGAATAATTCTCTCGTTGATGGAATCAACAATGAACAATAGCTTATTCGCGTCTAGAATAATGCTTGAAGGGCAACTAAGAGTGTAAGTAACATTTTCTGTCTTGTTTCCAACAGCCGTCTGAGCTACTAGAGATTCTGATCGAAATAGTTGAACTCGATCATTACCACAATCAGCAACGAATAAATCGCCATTCGATGGATCAACAAAAATGCCTTTGGGACTAGACAGTGTTGTTGCCGTTGAACCTTTCGATGCCGTGCCAGCAACGATGATGAATGGATTCCAAGAGTGAACCAATGATCTCGAAAGAACTTGATGACGAACTGTAATGGAACAGAACAGATTCTCGTGTGAATCAAGAAAAATATCGAAACATTGTTGACATTGTTGTATCTGCTGGACTGAATGTGTTGAATTGAGTTCCAGTCGACTAACGCCACCAACGGTAGAATACGAATCAAAATACACTTCATTTCTGTCGCTAACAAAAACACTCGATGAGTTGACTGAAGTGTTCATTCTTGATGTCACATTCCCTTCGACAAAAACAGTCACCTCTCCTCTCTCTCCATTGGAAAGAAATATCTGATCATTGCTGTTGATGAACACATCAGCAACAAATGATCCAACCAATGTTTGATTTGCAATGATTGTTCCCTGGGAATCCCATGAAGCATTCACAGAGATATTCGGTTGATTGAATGAGATTCCTAGCGGGAAAGAAAAAAAAGATGAAAGATAAAAGATTGAAGTTGGATTGTACCGAGAATTTCTTCGCTTATCGAAAAGAAAATGATGAAAAAGATCATTTGTTTCTTTTGTTGCATTGGAAAGTGTAACGAAAAAGACATTTGCTGAATAATGTTGCTTTTATTTGTTTGAAAAGCAAATGACTTTCGGTGAACACTCGTTGAGCAAATGTTTGAACTTCAACGATCCCTCTGATGATTTTGCATCAAATTAGGACTTTTTTATTTATCTCGAATTGAAATACAAGACACGGTTTTTTCTGAGTCTTTCTTAATCATATTCATAAATCATAGAAATTCAAATTCGAAGGATATCTATGCTTTCTCTTCACTTTCTTTACTCTAAAGAATGCCCATGTCTTATGAACCACCCGTTTATCGGCTGTAATAACATAATTAGCTTTATTCAAAAATGACGCAATATTTTTAAAGTTTGTTAAGATTGATAAACTCTGATCGATTTCGCGATGGCGCCTAGTAATGTCGAGGTGTCTGAACCACTAGAACTAGCCACAGAGCCGAAATCGGTCTAGTAAACCATATATAATTCATTTCAGTTTAACTATAGATGTCACTGAAAATTCTTTAAATTCTCAGATATAGCTCGGAACTCACTATTTTGCCAGGTTTTCTGAATTCTTTGCGCTAGATATTAATCACTAGTTTTAATGGAACCGCGTATAACCACCGGTACGCATAGAAAGGTGACGACATGAGTGACGATGAAGTTTCAATGAGAAGTGAAGATTCTCGAAGAGATTGTGTTTCATAGTTTCAAAATCAAAGCATCATTCAATTCTCTACGAAGCGACTAAATGTTTTCATCTGGAGAAAATATTCTAATTGATTCACTCGGAAGAAATCGAAACATTCGTCTGTGGCGAAAACGAACTCTTTAGCTGTTCCCTTGCAGCTCTATTTCATCAAATCATTTGCCTTTACATTTCATCGATATTTACTCAACAACAATGCTTTCTTCTTCTTCTTTCTTGAGTTAAAAGACATTTTGCTGACAAGTCAATGTTACTGACTTTAGTGAAATACTTCACTAAGTCACACTATTCTTTTATTTGTATTCGTTCATTCTTGAGGAGGTGAAGGTGACGTTGTGATGTCATATTATTCATGACATGGAAATGTTCGCTGTGAATAGAAAAATTCAAACGATTCATTTGTGAGATATATCGAATTGAGATTAGCTGAGAAATGATAGCAGATTGTTTTTCATTGTCGGCTTTCAAGAATAAATGAGAATTTTTACAAGTGAAGATAATTCTTTAGAATATCTCGATCAAAAGACTGTTCATTATGTTTTCGGATTATGGACGTTGAGCGCACGATATTTTTCGGTGGATAGACATATCGTTTTCATTTTAGAAGTATAAAATCAAATAGACAAGTATGATGACATCCATACTTCAGTTAAAACGCTTGATAAATTGAAATTTTGTGGCATTTTCTCTGATATTCAAAACAAAGAAATAACATTGAACTGAAGTCACAAAGAGAACATATGATTACATGATGTCATGTAAAAGATAAACTACGTGTATTTAACGTTATTTCTGCTCAAGATATAAACATATTAATCCAAGAAGAAGAGTGACCAATCGTACATAATGACGATGTTCATCTTTGTTTCTCTTTCTCCACGTTCTATCGGACTTGTATCTATTCGAAAAAAGATAAGAAAGTAAATCTTTAGATTGAATAATTTGTTTTTCATTCTAGGCACAGGAAAATATGATCGAAACACATGACAAAATGCCATTTACATGGACCTTTATTCTAAGGTTGATGATGACATTCTTCGATTCATCTGATGAAGGAGCAACTCTTTGGTCATCACCTTTGGTAAACGGAATTGATACATACAATGATTCAACTGTTAATATCAGTTGGCAATATATGGATTATGACAGTGAACCATTTCGGGTAAAATGAAGATTTATCTTATATAGATTAAACGGAACTGAGAAGTATTTTACCAGTCCTGTTATTAATGGTACAGATCGTTTCAATTTCACGTCGTTATTCATCATTGATAATTATTTGTTCAAAACTAATGATTACTATCTTCTCTTAATGGATTATTACACGACATTTATTGATAAAAATAATGAAACAGCAGAATTTGGGGGAACTGATGTACAAGACCAGTTGTTTAAAATGTCAACAACAACAACAATCACTCGAATGTAGAAATCAGTTCAGATAACGTTCCGTTCAGCTACTCTTTGGACCATATAGCCATTGGAAATTTCTTGTTACGAACTTGAGATGAATGCAAAACTAAATGATAAGAATACAACTTTACTAATTGAAATTATCAGAAACGAAACACATTTGATAAAGATATTTAAATTCAAAAATGTATGACTATACGCAGATTATCGTGTGATGACAACGTTTAAATGGAGATATTTCTCAAATAGTCATTGGACTATAATAAGTGAATATACAGAAACTATTCGAATTACAAATCGAAGGTTGAACATAAGAAGTTCATTTTACGAACAAGTCTTTCTTTGCTTTCTCTGTAATCTTTTATTATTCAAATTAGTTTTCATGTCATTCATCTTTTTATTTTTAAACTTAAGAATTCAGAAGATCTAGTGCTGGATTAAATATGTCTTATCTAAAAAAAAAAAAAGTCGTTTAATATGTAATACTTGAAATTTTGAAGTCTTGTCTTTGATCCAGAGTAAAATACCTCGATGTTTCTTTTAAATATTTTTCATGTTATGTGTTAATATCTGCCACAATTCATGCCATAATTGTTGATTTATAAGCATATCACCAATTAAAACAAATGATCCTGGACAAACTGCTACTATCAATGCACACTTCAGTCGTATCTATTCTGCAGTAAAAGTTGTTTGCTCTATTTTGAGATGACCTTCTACATAATGTTGCCTCGTTAACAGCACCAAGGCAATCTATTTTCATATCATTCGTTCTATTAAGAGGTAAACATATTGATTGTTTTGTGTCAAATGAAACACATATGGTCATCCGAGGAGCAGTTCAATACTGTTCGTGGATAACATGTAAGTTCATCAAGACCACTCAAACAATTTCACATACCATCACATTCTGTATAAAAATTGTCGAATGCCCTATAATCGCAATTGGTTTCATCAGTTTCATTCTGCCCGTGAATTAATTTTGGTAATAAATCATCATATCCTTCGCAAATAATCTGCAATGGAACACGAAACTTTATGTTTTCAGATGCATTCGGGTATTTACCTATACAGGTACGATACGAATACATATATTCACCGTCATCTAGTACGTTAACGTAAGAGTTTATGTCTTTATGCTGATTTTTACTATCATCATATATAAACATAGTAGTACAGGAGAAGGCGATCGTACTTTAGACATAGAATAAATTTTGACTGTATATCCAGTGTTATTCGAATCGATCGTTAGTTTTAGACTTAAGCGGTAGACATATTCCAAACACTCAAAATAACCGGTTTTAGTTGAGTCTATTTTAGTAGCAAAATGTTCGTTCCACAAACTATGCTCTTTAAAGCTGAAGAGGAATGTAGTAACAACACAAGTACATCTTTTATTATTGAAGTAAATTGTAAATTCTTTGGTAATAATGTCATTATAAATAGAATTATTAAAGCAAACTTAAGGCTTTGGAATGATCATATCATTAGAATTTAGTAGATCAGATTTTTCGAAAGCGAAAAACGACATTGCCTGATAGAAATGGAACTATGGGATAACAGAATATATCTGGACATTTATCTTCAACACATCGAACACAATGCTCACGCTTGCAAAATGCTTCTAATAAGAGGGACATAGGAACAATACATTTCATTATTGACCAACAAATTTCGGACGTTGTATTATCGTTAATAGAAAACATATTTTCCAATAATAGCTGTCGACGCTTCTCATTACAGGAGCTTGTCAAAAGTGAATCATAACATCTAATGTCGTCTGACCCGAAAAAAAGGGTTCTATCAAAGTTAAAATTGGCAACCGTTCATCTTGAAGGAAATTGTCGTATATGTTTAATTGTAGACAATATTTGTCTTCCATCAAAAATTTCAGTCCAGTCTAAACAAAATGAAGACGGACCACATTAACATTTTATACGATCATAACATGTTAAATCACTTGAAAGACGGCTAGCTTGATAATGAGCTTTTATCAGTTCTTCTGATGTCGGATGACGTGAATAAACTCGATCGAATTCATATTGACACATAGAACCAAATCTTGGCAATGTGCAATTGTAAAAAATTCTTCTGTCAGAATTCCATCATCTGACGTTAATAGTTGCTCTAAATATATTTGATAACGTTCAGCAAGCTCTACTGGTACCAACCAAAAATATAATTGTTCGCTAGTTATATTTTTGTGAAAGTTCAGCAAAAGAATATTTCGGAAAATCATGGTTTTCTTCTATGGCATATTCTTTCGCTAATTCAGCTATACAGTAACTATGTAATTTGTGTTTACCAGTGTCAGAACTGTGTTCGATAATACTCAAGCAATTGTAATGCTGCAATGACAAATTTTTGCCATCATTATTTACCTGATTTGTAAACTGTAAATTGATTTGCGGTGGGGCAACAGTTGAATGTATAAAAATAACATATAGTATATATTTCGTAGAAAACATCTAGTTGAAAATGAAGGAAATTTTTAGTCTATTTTGCATTTCTTTCATCTCTAGTGAAAATACGAATAGATTCACCATTTTTAATTTTTGACGTCAATATACAAAAAAGAATGATATATATCTGAAATCAGGAAAGATACTTTCGAATTAATAGTGCAATTAAGCTGAGCTCTGATAAGCCCACCGGAAAAAAATTACTAACGGGTTTTAATTTTTTTATCATAGCTGTATTCTTTGTGGAAAATGGGTCAATATGTATTATCAGAAATATTTTCATATCCATTGTCTGTCACGGCAATATCAGCTAAATTGTTGTTATTAAAATCAAGAATTCTAACAGAAAATGTTTCATTTTCGTTTCTTAAAAATAGTCCAGTATTATTCGTAAGAACATCAGCCACAAAAGTCCAAACTGTATTTTTTATTCAAATATTCACTTTCTCATGAATTTTATTAAGATAATTCTTATATCAGATGCCATTCTATATTTTGTCGTTTTCGAGTCAAATAGCATATGATATTCAAAAAATGATGATTTGATTGAAACAAGATTTGAAGTTGAGCGCTCCAGGTATATCATTTACCGACGATAAATACATTTTGCAAATCAAACTTCAATACAAGCTTTTTGCCACGTCTTATTTCTTTTTTTCTACCATAAACATGTGCGTATATGTCATGCTTTTCTTCCTGTTATTTACCTATCGACAACACGTCATAAAAACACTAGTCTGATACGAATAAAGTTGGAAGAAACAAAGTGCACATACGTGTAAGAATGTCACTCTCGTTTGAAATCAATCCTCGCCTTTTAGTCGATATTCCCAATCAATCAAATCGGAATATTGAATCAATCAATGGTTATCAACAAGAACAACTTCTATCACTTGAAGAAGTTTGCCAACCATTGCATACTATTCTTGGTACAGAACTTCAACTCTACATAACTGTTGCTAAACTGAATTCGAAAGAACCTAAACATGGACTCACTCAAGATGAATCNGCGGGGTTCATTTGTCCTTTATCTGTGAAATTTTGATTTTGTTTAAGCAGCTATAGACAAGACTTCGATCGTTTGAACGGATGTCCATTTTAAGCGGAAAAATAACTTATGACTTTTGATTAAAACATTTTTTTTAAATATTAGTTACAACCTACATAGCGAAAGTGATATGCGTTCGTAGAAACATGTGCTGTCTCGCAAGATAAATAACTACACTTGCGTAAAAGGGTGAATACCTTCCATCATAGCGCACACATATGTATATTGCATAAAAAAGAACTTTTCTGACGAAAATACTCTAGCTAGGCTGATCAGCAGTCTTCGCGACTGTGCAATATTCCTTATTACCGATGAGACCAACGTTGTTTTCAAGAAAATGGATTATACTTTATTGCAACTGGTTCTCGAGATTATTCAACCAAGGATTATAGAAGTCTGTTACCAACCTTATATGACCGCCTGCACCACTATAAAACGATTGAAACTGGAAATAGTGTAAGTTCTCGATACTTCATTGGAACATACGATTCTCTGGCTATTGGATGGCAACATGATCGCTACTTTTCTTGCAACTTAATTATCGATAACAAAAAAAGCCTACGTCCGTCGAACAATTCGCAGTAGTGATGAGTTTCACTGAAAACATTAAGCTATGTTTCGCAACAGATGCAAGTCAGAAAATGATTCTATCGTGTGATCATCTTAAAGAAATCAGTGAATGCAGTTGTAAGTAACATCTTTCATTATTGGTGGCATATGTAGTTGCAATTATCACCGATTGATTTTGTTGTACGTGTGAATCTCAAACAAAACGGTCAGCCATCAGCCCCCTTCATTGGGGTAGATTTATTAAAGAGAGCATGATTCTAAAATATAAATAAATTGGCTCCTCATTGCGAGTTGCATAGTTGGCACAGAAAATCAAGATGATTTCTCCTCCCAATGCGTTGAAAAATCAGAAGAATTATAAAATTTCACTGTTTTGTTATTTTCGTCAAAATAACGATAAGTTTTTAATGAAATTTAGAAAATAAGACTGAGATTGACTCATCAATTCGTAAGAAACGCTGGTCTTTACTATTACAGAATGAAAGGAGTTAGATTGCATAGTTACTATTATCATGAAAAATATCCCCAATCTGTCCTCCGTTGAAAATTGCTGAAATTCCGCTATGCTTAATTGTGCCTCTAGCGTGCAATCTGTAAAAAAAACTCCCCACTGATGGTGAAATCCCAGTCGAATTTATCGAGCGTACTCTGGAATTATCTCTTAATCATGCAGTTACTTGATCAACATGACCACGCGGGAGAAAGTGTGCATGAAAGATATTGGGTAACAATATTAGGCTATTAGCGAGAGTGAGTAGGACCCATAGTAAAAGTCTGAAATCAGAATTAAACCTTATGGCAAAAAAGTGGATTGCTATGTGCTTAATCAAAACAACGTAACCCGGGTGCAAGCGAATATATCGCATCCTACCGGACGGGAATAAAATCCTTTTACTTATCGACAATCAGACTGAGGCTTATCCAATGTCAGAAAATGAACCGAATTCTGTAATAATACCAAGCTCTTGATATCATCAGAACCGGTATAATAGAAGATGGTTGAATTCGAAAGTTATGTTATATGTGCTGTACAGAGCAAAATTCAAGCAAACCGGTCTCATTACAAGCACGAAACCCGTTTGTCATCAATGTTACTCACCAAAAAGCTCTCGAAATCGGTTTGTTCTTTCTTGGAAAACAACGAAGCAAATGTCAACTACCTCAATGTATCCCTTTCAATCACACTGACAATGACAAAGAAAATGTTGAGACACAATGAGCGGTTTTCGATTTTAAAAGTTTCTGTTTTGGATTATAAATCATTTCTTGTAAGTGTCAGATGTTTTTATATTAATGGTGCATAACAAGTTGTAGACAACTACTTTCATTTTGCTCAAATTTAACAAATGTTGATAATATNTAAATCATCATATCCTTCGCAAATAATCTGCAATGGAACACGAAACTTTATGTTTTCAGATGCATTCGGGTATTTACCTATACAGGTACGATACGAATACATATATTCACCGTCATCTGGTACGTTAACGTAAGCGTTTATGTCTTTATGCTGATTTTTACTATCATCATATAAACATAGTAGTACAGGAGAAGGCGATCGTACTTCAGACATAGAATAATTTTTGACTGTATATCCAGTGTTATTCGAGTCGATCGTTAGTTTTGGACTTAAGCGGTAGACATATTCCAAACGCTCAAAATAGCCGGTTTTAGTTGAGTCTATTTTAGTAGCAAAATGTTCGTTCCACAAACTATGCTCTTTAAAGCTGAAGAGGAATGTAGTAACAACACGAGTACATCTTTTATTATTGAAGTAAATTGTAAATTCTTTGGTAATAATATCATTATAAATAGAATTATTAAAGCAAACATAAGGCTTTGGAATGATCATATCATTAGAATTTAGTAGATCGGATTTTTCGAAAGCGAAAAAGACATTGTCTGATAGAAATGGAGCTATGGGATAATAGAACATATCTGGACATTCATCTTCAATACATCGAACACAGTGGTCACGCTTGCAAAATGCTTCTAACAAGAGGGACATGGGAACAATACATTTCATTATTGACCAACAAATTTCGGACGTTGTATTATCGTTAATAGAAAACATATTTTCCAATAATAATTGTCGACGCTTCTCATTACAGGAGCTTGTCAAAAGTGAATCATAACATCTAATGTCGTCTGACCCAAAAAAAAAGGGTTCTATCAAAGTTAAAATTGGCAACCGTTCATCTTGAAGGAAATTATCGTATATGTTTAATTGTAGACAATATTTTTTCGTCCAGATCACTATTGAGACAATCTTGTCTTCCATCAAAAATTTCAGTCCAGTCTAAACACGATGAAGATGGACCACGATAACATTTTATATGATCATAACATGTTAATTCACTTGCAAGACGGCTACCTTGATAATGAGCTTTTACCACTTCTTCTAATGTTGGATGATGTGAATAAACTCGATCGTATTCATATTGACACATAGAACCAAATCTTGACAATGTGTAATTGTAAAAAAAAATTCTTCTGTCAGAATTCCATCATCTGACGTTAATAGTTGCTCTAAATATATTTGATAACGTTCAGCAAGAGAATATTTGGGAAAATCATGGTTTTCTTCTATGGTATATTCTTTTGATAAATCAGCCATACAGTTACTATGTAATTTGTGTTTAACAGTGTCAGAACTGTGTTCAATAATACTTAAGCAATCGTAATGCTGCAACGACAAATTTTTGCCATCATTATTTATCTGATTTGTAAAATATAAATTAATTTGCGGTGGAGCAACAGTTGAATGTATAAAAATAACATATAGAATGTATTTCACAGAGAACATTTTTTGTTGAAAATGAATGGAATTTTTAGTCCATTTGCATTTCTTTTATCTCTAATAAAAATATGAACAGATTCATCATTTTGAATTTTTGACGTCAATATACAAAAAGAATGATATATATTTGAAATCAGGAACGATACTCCCGAATTAATAGTGCAACTAAGGTGAGCTCTGATGTGCCCACCGGGAAAAAAATTACTAACGCGTTTTAATTTTTTTTATCAAAACTATATTTTTTGTGGAAAATGGATCAATATGTATTATCAGAAATCTTTTCATATCCATTGTCTATCACGGCAATATCAGATAAATTCTCGTTTTTAAATCAAGAATTATAACAGAAAATATTTCTTTTTTATTTCTTAAAAATAGTCCAGTATCATTCGTATCAACATCAGCCACAAAAGTCCAAACTGTATTTTTTATTCAAATATTCACTTTCTGATGAATTTTATTAAGATAATTCTTATATCAGGTGCCATTTTATATTTTGTCGTTTTTCAATCAAATAGCATATGATATTCGAAAAAAATGATGATTTGATTGAAACAAGATCTGAAGTTGAGTGCTCCAGGTATATCATTCACCGACGATAAGTACATTTTGCAAATCAAACTTCAATACAAGCTTTTTGCCATGTCTCATTTCTTATTTCTACCATAACCATGTGCGTATATGTCATGTTTTTTCTTCCTGTTATTTACCTATCGACAACACGTCATAAAAATACTAGTCTAATACGAATAAATTTGGAAGAAACAAAGTGCACATACGTGTAAGAATGTCACTCTCGTTTGAAATCAATCCTCGCCTTATAATCGATATTCCCAATCAATCAAATCGGAATATTGAATCAATCAATGGTTATCAACAAGAACAACTTCTATCACTAGAAGAAGCTTGCCAACCATTGCATACTATTCTTGGTACAGAACTTCAACTCTACATAACTGTTGCTAAACTGAATTCGAAAGAACCTAAACATGGACTCACTCAAGATGAATCGGCATGCATCTATCTATATACAATGGAATGGAATCAATCAGAAAATAGTCTTCATGTTCTTCTTAATCGAGCACTCGTTGCTATCGATGGCAGTCAAATTCAACCTTGGTGGAAATATCTGAAGTTGTTCTTCACAGCAATATTCAAACTACCGTAAGTCGGTTGATATAGAACTGATTTGAATTGAATCTAATGTAGATATTCTGAATATCATACTGTTTGGCATGGTGTTCCTAAGGATGTTAGCGAATATTATCGAGAAGGCGACGAAATGACATGGTGGTCATTGACTTCCACAACATCTTCATTCGATGTTCTTCAATCACCAATGTATTTAGGTCGAGAAAAAGTACAAACAATATTTGAGATAAAAACAAAATATGGAAAATCAATCCGAGAACATTCGCATCTCGAAAATGATGAGGAAATTCTCCTTCTACCTGGAGTTGTTCTGAAAGTTATGGAAACTTCAAAACAAGGAGATGGAATTCATATAATTCGTTTACACGAGGTTGCATCATATGAAAATCAGCAAATGGATGAAACACCTCCATTTATATCAAGTAATATTCAAGATAATGAATTAGATGCATATCGAAATCCACAACTGGAACAAATAATCCGATCAACCGAATTTCGAGGCACACTACTTTTAGAATCAATGAATTTAAACGATCATGACGTAGAAATAGTTGTGAAATTAGGTATCGTGGAGCAACAATGCAAGGGACTGAATCTTCAGCACAATAAAATAACATCAGTTGGTGCTTTTATTTTGGCTCAATCGTTCTACGATATTAGATATATTGCAGAACTCAAACTGTGTGGAAATCGATTGCTCGATGCAGGTGTTCAACATATTGCTAGAGGATTGACGAATAAGAATATGGGCCTCATAGGTCTATATTTGAATTCAGTTGGAATGACAGATGCTAGTTGTGAGTGTCTCGTCGAAATGGTTCGAATAAATGGACGAATGCGTCACCTTTTTTTATTTGATAACGAAATTAGCGATTATGGTGCTCAAGTATTAATGAAAATACCTGAATACAATGAGCATGCTTCGATACCTACGATAGGCTTATCTGGCAATAGATTGATAACTGATGCAAGTGTAGATGCAATCTGCTCTGCTATACATACAAGTCGATATTTTCATCAAATACATCTAGGTAACTGCAGCCTTTCAATGGAAGGTAAAATGCGACTTCAATTAACTGCTCAACAGCGGGGTTCATTTGTCCTTTATCTGTGAAATTTTGATTTTGTTTAAGCAGCAATAGACAAGACTTCGATCGTTTGAACAGATGTCCATTTTAAGCGGAAAAATAACTCATGACTTTTGAATAAAACATTTTTGTAAATATTAGTTACAACCTACATAGCGAAAGCGATATGGGCTCGTAGAAACATGCGCTGTCTCGCAAGATAAATAACTACACTTGCGTAAAAGGGTGAATACCTTCCATCATAGTGCGCACATATGTATATTGCATAAAAAAGAACTTTTCTGACGAAAATACTCTAGCTAGGCTGATCATCAGTCTTCACGACTGTGCAATATTCCTTATTACCGATGAGACCAACGTTGTTTTCAAGAAAATGAAATATACTCTATTGCACCGGGACCTCGAGATTATTCAACTAAGGATTATAGAAGTCTGTTACCAATCTTATATGACCGCCTGCACCACTTTATAAAACGATTGAAACTGGAAACAGTTCAAGTTCTCGATACTTCATTGGAACATACGATTCTCTGGCTATCAGATAGCAACATGATCGCTACTTTTCTTGCAACTTAATTATCGATAACAAAAAAGCCTACGTCCGTCAAACAATTCCCAGTAGTGATGAGTTTCACTGAAAACATTAAGCTATGTTTCGCAACAGATGCAAGTCAGAAAATGATTCTATCGTGTGATCATCTGAAAGAAATCAGTGGCTGCAGTTGTAAGTAACATCTTTCATTATTGGTGGCATATGTAGTTGCAATTATCACCGATTGATTTTGTTGTACGTGTGAATCTCAAACAAAACGGTCAGCCATCAGCCCCCTTCTTTGGGGTAGATTTATTAAAGAGAGCATGATTCTAAAATATAAATAAATTGGTTCCTCATTGCGAGTTGCATAGTTGACACAGAAAATCAAGATGATTTCTCCTCCCAATGCGTTGAAAAATCTGAAGAATTATAAAATTTCACTGTTTTGTTATTTTCGTCAAAATAACGATAAGAGTTTTTAATGAAATTTAGAAAATAAGACTGAGATTGACTCATCAATTCGTAAGAAACTCTGGTCTTTACTATTACAGAATGAAAGGAGTTAGATTACATAGTTACTATTACCATGAAAAATATCCCCAATCTGTCCTCCGTTGAAAATTGCTGAAATTCCGCAATGCTTAATTGTGCCTCTAGCGTGCAATCTGTAAAAAAAACTCCCCACTGATGGTGAAATCCCAGTCGAATTTGTCGAGCGTACTCTGGAATTATCTCTTAATCATGCAGTTACTTGATCAACATGACCACGCGAGAGAAAGTGTGCATGAAAGATATTGGGTAACAATATTAGGCTACTGGCGAGAGCGAGTAGAACCCATAGTAAACGTCTGAAATCAAAATAAAATCTTATGGCAAAAAAGTGGATTGCTGTGTGCTTAATCGAAACAACGTATCCTGTCGAACGGAGATAAAATCCTTGTACTTATCAACGATCGGACTGAGGCTTATCCGATGTCAGAAAACGAACCGAATCCTGTAATAATACTAAGTTCTTGACATCAGTGGAACTGGCGTAACAGACGTCAGAAATGATCAAAAAGTCGTGTGCACGAATCGGTCTGGTACCTATAGTGAGTTTGTTTGAAGAGATAGTAAGCGATGGTTGAATTCAGAAGTTATGCTACATGCGCTGTACAGAGCAAGATTCAAGCAAACCGATCTCATTACAAGCACAAAAAACCGTTTGTCATTAATGTTACTCACAAAAAAACTTTCGAAATCGGTTTGTTCTTTCTTGGAAGACAACGAGGCAAATATGAACCACCTCAATGTATCCCTTTCAATCACACTGACAATGACAAAGAAAATGTTGAGACACAATGAACGGTTTTCGATTTTAAAAGTTTTTGTTTTGGATTATAAACCATTTCTTGTAAGTGTCAGATGTTTTTATATTAATGGTGCATAACAAGTTGTAGACAACTACTTTCATTTTGCTCAAATTTAACAAATGTTGATAATATCAATGGTCGGGTCCGAAAATTTATTTTAATTTTGAAGTCATAAAAGAGAACTTCAAGCTTTTTAACAACTAATTGGGAGAAAAACAACGATTTTCGATGTTCTTTTCTTCGAAAATAATTCAAACATATGCTTGAAAATGAGAAAACTTCAGATTTTATCCTACTGCAAAAATCGGATGACTAATTCTAGTTTTTTAACAAACACTCTATATTGACCAATTTTGATAGTGCATTCACTTTGTTACTTCACAAAAAGCGAAAAACCGGTATATCCTTTTGTATTTATCCTGTATGATCAATCGCGCATAACGAATGATAAAAAATCAAGAGTACTCATTTGATCGTGCCTTCAAGTCCATCTCCCTTCGAGGGAACGATCTGTTTACTATTGATTTGTGAGTGGAGCGGCCAAAAGTACTCTCATCGCACTTACTTCATCAACCATAGGTATTCCACCGAAACTATCGGTACCAACTTCGCGATAAGTTTTTGCTAATGAAAAAAAAACGATGATTGACTTTGCTCGTCGAACGAATATCGATTCAACATGTATAGTAGTTGAAAATTAATTGAAACAAAATGGCGTGCAATGTGTGGACTAAGAAATGATAGTTGACAAGACACTTCAACCTCGGAACATTATTACATTCGAAATAGAAAATGTGATATATTTTATTTAGTAAAGATTCTTCAAGTGATGACAAATATCCAATACGTTATATTGACAGTTGATGTTCGGAGATAGAATTAGTTGGAACGATCTTATTAGTATCTTGTCAAGATAGTAATGGCGAATTACAACAAACAACAATGGATTTGGAAAATATCTTATTAACAGAAATGGTAATTAATCTTCGAATAAAACATATCGAAAGGAGTTTTTTTTATCAAAGAATGTTTGTTTTATAATAACCGTTGAAAATCGCACTGTATATGATGGCTTATTTAGAACTGGTGAAATTGAACGAATTCATGATACACGAACCAATTCTATTCGTTCTGTTTGTACTCAACTTACATATTTTTCGAAAGGATGGCGAAATAGAAAGACATCTGTTTGTTCACTCGTGCTTTCGTCAAGTCAATAACCTGCGAACGAATGTTCTCTATTCAGAAAGTATAATTTGAATAGTCGCTGTTATTCTCTGTAAAACTAGTCATACGAAGATGCAAAGAAAGAAAATAGATTTTCAGTTATCAAAAGGATTATATACACCGTATCTCTATGTATCCAACATAACTCTGTCGTAAATACTTAAAGTTGACTCTCAAGTATGTAATAGTACAATAAAATACAATCGGTGTTCAACTAATAGTGCTTGTAGATATTTTTCTATGGCAGGTGCGGATAATCTGATGTTGCAGTTTGTGCTTTTCTTTGGAAATTCTGTTCTCAACTTGTTTCATGTGGTCCACACATGGATGTTCGAATGCAAAATCATATTTGTGTTCAGTATTCTCGATGCTGTTCAAATCCAATTTGTTACGCGTTGTCGATGATCAGCGAAAATCTTTATCCACCTTTAACAATTGGTGAGCAGAAAATATGTTTAGTTTAAATAATTTCTATTGATCAATAGTTGCAAATGAAACAGCAGCAATTATTTCAACTGATACAATAACGATTCAGTTGCGGAAGACGACGACGCCGAAAGGTAAGATCGTAGCACAACGTGTTTAAATTGGAATAATTGACCGTTGTAGAAACTATATCAAAAATAGTATATTAATGATTTATCACTTTCTCTGTAAATATAGGTCAACAAAAAAGAATTGAAGAAATAATTGTTGCATGTGGAAATGGAGGAGAAGACAGAATTGATCAATCAGATCATCCATCAAATGTGATTGTTCATGAACAAACTACTTTCACTGATCATTGCTTATAAAGCGAACAATCGAGTGATTTGGTGGTTATTGAATGAAAATAAATAGGAAATGCTCATTCGGAATATTCAATGTTGGAGCTTAGCAAAAGATAAATATAGATTTCTTTATGTGTCTCGCGATGTGAAGAATGAAGTGAGAAGATGGAAAATTGGAGAAGAACAATTTGATAAAGAAGGAACATTAGTGGCTGGTGGAAATGGAAAAGGAAAGAATCTGAATCAATTGAATTGGCCTCGTGGAGGTCTTATGGATGATTTGGGTCGAGTTTATGTTGCAGATGGTTGAAATCATCGGATAATGCGTTGGAGTGAACGAAGTTGAGAAGGTGAAGTGATTACTGGTGAAGACGGAAGTGGAAAGATATCAAATCGATTGTCTCAACCCAATGGGTTTATCATTAGATGCTGAAGGAAATAATTGTGTAGATGACTGGGGAAATGATCGAATCTTAAGTTTTTANAGATAGTAATGGCGAATTACAACAAACAACAATGGATTTGGAAAAATATCTTATTAACAGAAATGGTAATTAATCTTCGAATAAAACATATCGAAAGGAGTTTTTGTTATGAAAGAATGCTTGTTTTATAATAACCGTTGAAAATCGCACTGTATATGACGGCTTATTTAGAACTGGTGAAATTGAACGAATTCATGATACACGAACCAATTCTATTCGTTCTGTTTGTACTCAACTTACATATTTTTCGAAAGGATGGCGAAATAAAAAGACATCTGTTTGTTCACTCGTGCTTTCGTCATAGTCAATAACCTGCGAACGAATGTTTTCTATTCAGAAAGTAATTTGAATAGTCGCTGTTATTCTCTGTAAAACTAGTCATACGAAGATGCAAAGAACGAAAATCGATTTTCAGTTATCAAAGGATTATATACAATTCAAAGCAAATGATATTGATGCATCTTTACGAAGGATACAAGTGCATAATTCTATGACGGTATTTTGTCATTTGATTTTCATTTACATCTGAATTTGAACTAAAAATAGATCCATTTTATTCTAGTTTGATAGGTTTGTTCACTATTGCATGTTATATCTCTATGTATCCAACATAGTCCTGTCGTAAATAGTTAAAGTCGACTCTCAAGTATGTAATAGTACAATTCAATACAATCGATGTTCAACTAATAGTGTTTGTAGATGTTTTCCTATGGCAGGTGCTGATAATCTGATGTTGGAGTTTGTGCTTTTCTTTTTAAATTCTCTCCTCAACTTCTTTCATGTGGTCCACACAAGAATGTTCGGCTGCAAATCATATTTGTGTTCAGTATTCTCGATGCTGTTCAAATCCAATTTGTTACGCGTTGTCGATGATCAGCGAAAATCTTTATCCACCTTGAACAATTGATAAGCAGAAAGTATGTTTAGTTTAAATAATTTCTATTGGTCAATAGTTGCAAATGAAACAACAGCAATTATTTCAATTGATACAATAACGATTCAGTTGCGGAAGACGACGACGCCGAAAGGTAACATGGTAGCACAAAGTGTTTAAATTGGAATAATTGACCGTTATAGAAACTATATCAAAAATAGTTTATTAATGAATTATCCCTTTCTCTGTAAATATAGGTCAACAAAAAAACTGAAGAAATAATTGTTGCAGGTGGAAATGGAGGAGAAGACAGAATTGATCAATTAGATCATCCATCAAATGTGATTGATGATGAACAAACTACTTTCACTAGTGATTTGGCGGTTATCGAATGAAAATAAACAGGAAATGCTCATTTTGAATGGTAAATGTTGGAGCTTAGCAAAAGATAAATATAGATTTCTTTATGTGTCTCACGATGTGAAGAATGAAGTGAGAAGATGGAAAATTGGAGAAGAAAAATTTGATAAAGAAGGAACATTAGTGGCTGGTGGAAATGGAAAAGGAAAGAATCTGAATCAATTGAATTGGCCTCGTGGAGGTCTTATTGATGATTTGGGTCGAGTTTATGTTGCAGATGGTTGAAATCATCAGATAATGCGTTGGAGTGAACGAAGTTGAGAAGGTGAAATGATTATTGGTGAAGACGGAAGTGGAAAGATATCAAATCGATTGTCTCAACCCAATGGGTTTATCATTAGATGCTGAAGGAAATAATTGTGTAGATGACTGGGGAAATGATCGAATCTTAAGTTTTTATTTAATTTCGGAATAGAAAGATACAGTTGAACGATACAAAAAAAATTGTAAAATTGACAGTGTCATTTTACATTCACGTGCATGATACGCCTCACACCGTCACTTTCACTTCAAACGAGATACATACATTTCTTCCTCACCTCCCGAAAGATTTTCGTAGGTATTTAAACATACGATTTCCAATATTAAATGAGAGAAGAATATTTGTTTGTTCATAATACATATATAAAATATGAATATAAACCACTAGACCTACTCGATCTTCTGTACACTTAGACGACTGTTATCTTATAAGCTTGATAGCTTTCTCTCACTGAAAATACTTTGAGTGAAATTTCACTCTCATCCACGTGTATCGAAGACAATACATTTAGGCAACTTCTTTACGCAACCATCCGGACCTTTTCGACCTGATTAAACTAAAAAGAGTTCAGTGGAAGGATGACAGACTTTTATAGCTTCAGTACAATGATAATTTGTTTTGGTGCAGATGGAAAAAAAAATAACGTCATATTTCCTTGTCTGAATATCAAGTTACTTTGAAGTTTTAAATGGCATTATTCTTTGTATTTCCTGATAATGAAATCTAGTACGTGAGTTTTAAGTATTGACTTAAATTCAAAGGATAACAGAACGGAGAAAAAAAGTGACTACAAGCCTTGAGTAGCCAAATCATTATCGCTTTATTAAAATGCTTGTTGCTTGGTCGGTCTTTGCAATTTTATTCGTCGGTCGTTTTTCAGGTAAATTTCTTAGATACAAAATGAACAAAAAATGGCTTGATTCGATCTGACGCCTTCCAAGTAAAAGGCTGACTTCTGTTATATATTATAAATATTGCTGAAACGCGAAAAAGGATAATAATTGCATTATCTCTACCAAGACTCTGTAGAGAATGGAGTGGAACAAAGAAAAAATCGTTCCAGAAAGAAAATATTTTTATTGATCATCCCATAGGATAGGACAGTCGTAGTTATACGTAGTTCCATGCGATGGGGTGAAGTTTTTTTGTTCCGTGTCATCTGAGAGCATCCCATTAGAGAATCTAATGTACAATACAAAAATTATTCTACAATATCCCCAACAACGTTCGAAACAGGCAGTTCAGGCAGCCTAACTTTTAAAATCGTAGTAAAATCAAATCCTACGCAATACGGAGTTTTTATGAGTGAAAACGCGCCGTTTTTATTTTTTTACTTTTATCTTTTTCGATAGTGTCACTCAAAAAGCAACAATACAGATTATAAAGTCATTTTACTGATAGGTGAGCATACGCTCTCCCATCATTCGATCAGAGACACTCAGAACATTTCAATCTCTGCTACTTATAGCTATTGGAAACTCTTGTTTTTGCTACAAAACCAAAAGAGTATGCTATCCGTATTTTTGTTATTATTCATTTGTTAGCAGCGTCATACAATCGACCAAAACTTACATTATGTGAAACATGGGATTCAAATGCAATAACATTTGCTAATAGAACCTTTATTGGTGAACAGCCAACTGGTATTTTCATCAATACGAACAATACCATTTTTATACTTGATCGCAACAATAGTCGTATCGTAGTATGGCAGCATGGATCGATGATGCCGGCCATAAATATATCGAGCAAAAACCTAGCTAATTCATGGACTCTTTTTGTCAACAAAGAAGGCGATATTCATGCTGCTAATAGTGAATTTAACATTCAAAAAACGGCCTGGTTTCAGATTAAAGCATACACGGAACGTGCCATGAAAATCAGAGGTCCCTGCACGGGACTCTTCATTGATAAAAACAATTGTCTGTACTGTTCCCTGGTGAATAGCCATCGTGTTGATAAGATCAATCTCAATGATGAGACAATGCAATCAATCGTGGCAGCTGGTACGAGCTGTCCTGGACCTCTATCAAATATGCTCGACCATCCGCACGGAATCTTTGTCGAGATGAACTTTGACTTATACGTAGCAGACACGTATAATAACCGTGTTCAGCGCTTCACAGTCGATCAATTCCACGGAATAACGGTAGCCGGCTTTGGAGCACAAGTGCATTTTATTCTCAATAGGCCAACCAGTATTGTGCTTGACGCCGATGGCTATCTATTCATCGTAGAAAGTCAAAGCCGCCGAATCGTTCGATCGATTCCCAACGGATTTAGATGTCTGGTTGGGTGTTCGAGTAAAAGCGGAACATCATCAAGTCAATTACATAACCCACAAGTGATGGCTTTTGATAAAATCGGCAATATTTATGTTACGGATACGAATAACCGTAGGATTCAAAAATTTAATGTGCGCGTTTGGTCAAACGGTACGTATGCTTGCTATTAGTGTGTAAGTGAGGGTATATCGTTGTCGCGAAACTCGCATATTCAGGATCGAATACAGTAAAGAGCTGTGATACTTATGTACCAGGTCGTTTGTCGACGNGAGGTCTTATGGATGATTTGGGTCGAGTTTATGTTGCAGATGGTTGAAATCATCGGATAATGCGTTGGAGTGAACGAAGTTGAGAAGGTGAAGTGATTACTGGTGAAGACGGAAGTGGAAAGATATCAAATCGATTGTCTCAACCCAATGGGTTTATCATTAGATGCTGAAGGAAATAATTGTGTAGATGACTGGGGAAATGATCGAATCTTAAGTTTTTATCTAATTTCGGAACAGAAAGAAACAGTTGAACGATACAAAAAAAATTGTAAAATTGACAGTGTCATTTTACATTCACGTGCATGATACGCCTCACACCGTCACTTTCACTTCAAATGAGATGCATATATTTCTTCCTCACCTCCCGAAAGATTTTCGTAGGTATTTAAACATACGATTTCCAATATTAAATGTGAGAAGAATATTTGTATTTTCATTATACATATAAAATATGGATATCGACCACTAGACCCACTCGATCTTCTGTACACTTAGACGACTGTTATCTTATAAGCTTGATAGCTCTATCTCACTGAGAATACTTTGGGTGAAATTTTACTCTCATCCACGTGTATCGAAGACAAAACGTTTAGGCAACTTCTTTACGCAACCACCCGGATCTTTTCGACCTGATTAAACTAAAAAGAGTTCGATGGAAGGATGACAGACTTTTATAGCTTCAGTACAATGATAATTTGTTTTGGTGCAGATGGAAAAAAAAATAACGTCATATTTCCTTGTCTGAATATCAAGTTACTTTGAAGTTTTAAATGACATTATTCTTTGTATTTCCTGATAATGAAATCTAGTACGTGAGTTTTAAGTATTGACTTAAATTCAAAGGATAACAGAACGGAGAAAAAAAGTGACTACAAGCCTTGAGTAGCCAAATCATTATCGCTTTATTAAAATGCTTGTTGCTTGGTCGGTCTTTGCAATTTTATTCGTCGGTCGTTTTTCAGGTAAATTTCTTAGATACAAAATGAACAAAAAATGGCTTGATTCGATCTGACGCCTTCCAAGTAAAAGGCTGACTTCTGTTATATATTATAAATATTGCTGAAACGCGAAAAAGGATAATAATTGCATTATCTCTACCAAGACTCTGTAGAGAATGGAGTGGAACAAAGAAAAAATCGTTCCAGAAAGAAAATATTTTTATTGATCATCCCATAGGATAGGACAGTCGTAGTTATACGTAGTTCGATGCGATGGGGTGAAGTTTTTTGTGTTCCGTGTCATCTGAGAGCATCCCATTAGAGAATCTAATGTACAATACAAAAATTATTCTACAAGATATCCTACGCAATACGAAATTTTTATGAGTGAAAACGCGCCGTTTTTATTTTTTTATTTTTATCTTTTTCGATAGTGTCACTCAAAAATCAACAATACAGAGATTAAAGTCATTTTACTGATAGATGAGCATACGCTCTCCCATCGTTCGATCAGAAACACTCAGAACGTTTCAATCTCTGCTAAGTATAGCTATTGGAAACTCTTATTTTTGCTCCAAAACCAAAAGAGTATGCTATCCATACTTTTATTATTATTCATTTCTTAGCAGCATCATACAATCGACCGAAACTTACATTATGTGAAACATGGGATTCAAATGCAATAACATTTGCTAATAGAACCTTTATTGGTGAACAGCCAACTGGTATTTTCATCAATACGAACAATACCATTTTTATACTTGATCGCAAGAATAGTCGTATCGTAGTATGGCAGCCTGGATCGATGATGCCGGCCATAAATATATCGAGCAAAAGCCTAACTAATTCATGGACTCTTTTTGTCAACAAAGAAGGCGATATTCATGCTGGTAATAGTGAATTTATCATTCGAAAAACGTTCTGGTATCCGATTAAACCATACACGGAACGTGCCATGAAAATCAGCGGCCCCTGCACGGGACTCTTCATTGATAAAAACAATTATTTGTATTGTTCCCTGATGAATAGCCATCGTGTTGACAAGATCAATCTCAATGATGAGACTATAATGCAATCAATCGTGGCAGCTGGTACGGGCTGTCCTGGACCTCTATTAAATATGCTTGACCATCCGCACGGGATCTTTGTCGACATGAACATTGACTTATACGTAGCAGATACATATAATAACCGTGTTCAGCGCTTCACAGCCGATCAATTCCACGGAATAACGGTGGCCGGCTTTGGAGCACAAGTGCATTTTATTCTTAACAGGCCAACCAATATTGTGCTTGACGCCGATGGCTATCTATTCATCGTAGAAAGTCAAAGCCACCGAATCGTTCGATCGATTCCCAACGGATTTAGATGTCTGGTTGGGTGTTCAAGTAAAAGCGGAACCTCATCAAGTCAATTACATAACCCACAAGTGATGGCTTTTGATAAAATCGGCAATATTTATGTTACGGATACGAATAACCGTAGGATTCAAAAATTTAATGTACGTGTTTGGTCAAACGGTACGTATGCTTGCTATTATTATGTAAGTGAGGGTATATCGTTGTCACGAAACTCGCATATTCAGGATCGAATACCATAAAGAGCTGTGATACTTATGTACCAGGTCGTTTGTCGACGTGAACATTTCTCTGTGTTTTCATTGCACTTTGCTAGCAATCGAAGATAAACTTCGAAACCGGTTGTATATTTTTCTTCTTTTTCTTTATGCTAGAGACAATTGCTGCGAACTACTCGATTATTACTAAAGGACTTAGCCCATTAGTAGTGGCCGTGCGCTATCCAAATGGAAGCTGGTTTGAAGGCACAGTATGTGATGATGGTTTCTCTTCGAACGCTGCTCTGGTCGCTTGCCGATCCTATAATAAAGCTGTCACCTCAGCTAATTTTTCGACTATGACGTGGCAACCTACTGCCGACTGCAAGTATGGATTCAGAGAAGCATGCACTCTGCAGACATGTTCTTTTATACTGGATAACGTTGTGTGTAACGCAAGCTCATATTTATCGCTAGAGAGTTGCACCTTCCGACCTTTTTTCACTCATAATTGTCACAACATGGAACATATTAATCTGAACTGCTACATCTAAAGATTGACTGTAATCATATTCACTTTTCTTGCCTATTTCAATATTTCTTTCAAAATAAAGGACGGATGTGGGTGACAATCGAATTCATTCAAGTATAAAATCGATTTTGTTTTTGGTGATTTCTATGCAAGTTTTCACACAATATCGACGATAATTGAGTGAAACTTGGATTATATGCAGCGTACAATGATTTTAAAAGGGCTTCCTGATCGGAAATCGATCTCGTGAACAATGTAACAGATGACGATGAAAAATTCAGGAGATAGAAAACTCAATATATCCAGAATCTGATAATATTTTTAGCCAATCATTTACCGAAACTAAAAAGCTATCCGCCAAATACTCCCAAAAACAGAGCTTTCAGCGAGTTTCATTTATCTCAAGAACAATCACATATTTTAAAAATATGTTCCTACAATTTCTAAGGAAATATTTGCTCTTTCGAATAGAAAAAACCTAAAATGCAATTTCAATAGTTCATCAGACAAATGTTCCGCAGTCGGAAAAAAATATGAAAAATCAGTCACAGCATTACGAAGTAAATTACGGTGTTTCTCGTGTAAATATCGGTAGTATATTATATATCATTGGAAAGCCCTTGAAAACTGCTATCAATTCATGGTATTTTCGACAACAAAAAAAGAAAGCTAGTTTCTGTTAATTAAATGAATCTAGAATTGATTGTTGCGCCATCTTTTCGAGAATTTGCGCAGTTTTGAAGGATATTGGTCGTATATGATATCATTCAACCGGCCAGCACTGATACTGATCAACTACAGTTTTACCTAGTACCTGATCAGTAACAGCTTATATATTTATTTTATCGCTCATTTTCGAATACTACATCTTCATTTTGGAAAATAAAACTAACACGCAGCTATCCCTTTGATATATGAGGTTTTCAATTGACCAGGTAGCCTTCCCAGGTCTCGTTACGACCACCCTAGCAGCTACGGAACAAAGCTAGTGGTGACTAGAAAGCTTTTCAATATTATAGATAGAGTTGGAACAAAATTAGATCACGGTAACTAAGAAAAAAACCATTTAAAACGAGCTATCTTCGTTGGTGCTTCCAGGAAACGCCCCAAAAATGGGTCAAGTAAGTACTATACATACGTAATGCATATATATTCTTGAAGAGGACATACAGGGCTACGAGAAGATGCTTTTTTTAGAAAAATCGCCTTCCTGAGTGGAAGGAGTGTCTCCTTAACTTTGTTGCTTAGAAATGTATAATATTCGTGAGTTGTAGAGTCGTATTATCATTTGGAAACCAGCATTATTTATGAAAGTTTGAATTCCTCCGCTCATTTGAGTCGTTGGACGATACGTAAATTAACACTCAAAACAAAGTTGTCTTGTGAAAGAATCAAATCAAAACCGAAAGAAGGGAAAATGGTAAGAGGAATGCGTGTGTTCTTCGACTTGCGAAAACGAGGTATAAATAAATAAATATGATTTATATATTCATTTGATCAATTTTTTCGGTGCCAATGTAAAACAGCTCTCACATTAAAACTCTGAAGCGAAAAGCTACGATATGTCAGCCATGATCGTATGCTTTGTTGATCAATAGAGTTATTGTAGAATTGAGACTTCGGTGGTTTTCACGTTAATGAAGTATTTTTGTGTTCGTCTCGATTCATTTAGGATCTCTCCTTGAGATTCATTGTATATGTTTTCAATGGAATTTACTGAATCGGTCGCTCATTTAGATACCAACGAATAATATTGCTCAGAATGATTATTCATATTCTAAAAAAGCAGGTAAAAACTTAGTGGAATCAATAAATCCAAAGAAAGCTTTTGAATATCCCAATTTATTTCGAAAAGTATTAGATTGGTGAGTTTCATGCGATCCTTACAGTAATACATTCGCAATATCATGTTACAAGGTAATCTACGTCTTATTTCTTATTGACATAAATAGAGTCAACACTAGTTTTGGTCTAAATTTCAATGTTTAACTTTTAAAAAATGAACAATCCATTTAAACTATAACATAGTTTGTCCATAATGGTATAGATAGTGAAATCAAATAAAACTTATAGGCGCAGAAAAGTGCACGGGTGATGAATGCTTACAACAATGAGATATGATAATAAGCAAACGCATCTTGAAAAGACAAAGAACTCAAGGCATTAAATTCTACAAGAGAAGAACATGGACTTGCAGAGCGTTGAATTAGTTTGCAACAGTAAGATAAACTTGTTAGTATCCATATAATACCAGTTCAGAATACTGGACACTGTCGGACGCTGATCGTTTTCCCGACACAAGAAATCGATAGCTCCTGTATGAAATGGTATTGTTTATTTGTTGTATCGAGCCGCCACCCATACGACCCGGATCGTTTTGTAATCCACTATTACCATTATAAATAAGAGTCCAACTGCTACCAAGTGTCAGATTTGATCCTGATTGATTACTTCCTTCTAACGTCACGATTAATGGATCACGTTCAGAATGATCACTGCCTGTGTACATTTGTAACGCCCTCACTACAGTTGAACCACGTTGTAATTCAAAATACACACCAGTATTCAAACCACACTGATTATTATTATCAGAGATTGTACATGATCCAAAATTTAGATACTTAGTTGATGTATCATTATCCCACGCCGCCTCTGGTGATTGACCCGGTGGGTACTGACCAATACCGTAGCCGCTTGTTGATGCCGTACTATCACCACCTACAGATGTATTGTAAACAGCTCCAATTGTTCCATTGACAGCGGCAAGTGGAATTCGACCTACAATGTCATAGTGAGTAGAATTACTTACGTACACGATTAATATGTCATCGATATACGTATGTTTCTTTCAATACCTTACTAATCGATCCTTTTCTCAGGCTACAAATACTTCTGCTCATGCTCAGTTATGTTCATACAGAGAAATCGCTCTTGTTTGGTGACGTCTCAGAGTCAGATAAGGGAAACATTGGCTTACCTATCGGCGGTGTCGTAGTTGATGTAGAAGTTGAGGTTGTTTCCGTAGTAGAGGATGTCGTTGCTGCCGATGTTGTTGTTGTTGTAGTCGGTTCTATTTTGCAGAAGTGGGTTTAGAATGAGACAAAGCGATTCGACACAGTTTTACTCATAAGTTCTCACTCTTTTACTCTTATTATTATATTTGATCGAGATATAAGTGTATTATCATATACGAGTAAGTATGCAGATGTCTTATATCATAGTTATACTTCTATTATCATTAATTTAAGTATATCTCCAATGTACCGCGATGTAAGTAAGGGTTGTTATGTGTCGAAGTTTAATATTTTCTCGTAATCACTTCTACTCATTCTCGTCCTCAATGTCTTTCTCAATCTAATAGTTATATTCATACTAACCAGGTGGAGATCGAGTTCCAGCAATGACAATCGTTGTGATAATGTCCACATCGGTCAACATATTTCCAATCTCATTTGACATATCCGTAAATAATTCACAACTAGAATTTGATTGATGAAAACTAGCTGCCCTACAATAAACTTGTGCTAAACAAGTCATTTGACATTTAATATTAGTCGAAATAACGGCACTGACAAATGGTGAACAAGGTGTAGTAGCACATTGAAATTTCCTGCCACGCATTGCAAACATTCGAACGGATCTCATATCTTCTCCGACTAATTGTGTAATAATCACAGAAAGAATCCATAAACAAGTATTCCTTGAAGTCATTATCAACGAGACTGNCCAGTTCAGAATACTGGACACTGTCGGACGTTGATCGTTTTCCCGACACAAGAAATCGATAACTCCTGTATGAAATGGTATTGTTTATTTGTTGTATCGATTCGCCGCTCCTGCGACCCGGATCGTTTTGTAATCCACTATTACCATTATAAATAAGAGTCCAACTGCTACCAAGTGTCAGATTTGATCCTGATTGATTACTTCCTTCTAACGACACGGTTAGCGGATCACGTTCAGAATAATCATTGGCTGTGTACATTTGTAACGCCCTCACTACAGCTGAACCACGTTGTAATTCAAAATGCAAGCCAGTATTCAAACCACACTGAGTATTATTATCAGAGATTGTACATGATCCAAAATTCACATACTTAGTTGATGCATCATTATCACATGCATCGCCTGGTGTCTCAGACGCTGAGTATTGACCAACACCGTAGCCGGGTGTTGCTGCCGTACTATCACCATCTACAGATGTATTGTAAACACCTGCAATTGTTCCATTCACAGCGGCAAGTGAAATTCGACCTACAATGTCACAGTGAGTAGAATTACTTAGTTACATGATCAATGTGTCATCGATATAGATTTCTTTCCGTACCTCACTAATCAATCATTTTCTCATGCTATAAATAATTCTGCTCGTGTTTAGTTATGTTCGTATAAAGAAATCGCTCTTGTCTGGTGACGTCTGAGAATTAGATAAAGGTAACATTGGCTTACCTATCGGCGGTGTCGTAGTTGATGTAGAAGTTGTGGTTGTTTCCGTAGTAGAGGACGTCGTTGCTGTCGATGTTGTTGTTGTTGTAGTCAGTTCTATTTTGCAGAGATGGGTTTAGAACGAGACAAAGCGATTCGACACAGTTCTACTCATAAGTTCTCACTCTTTTACTCTTATTATTATATTTGATCTAGATTTAAGTGTATTATGATAGACGAGTAAATATGCAGATGGCTCATATAATAGTTATACTTCTATTATCATTAATTTAATTAGATCTCCAATGTACTGAAATGTAAGTAAGGATTGTTATTTGTCGAAGATTAATATTTTCTCGTAATCACTTCTACTTATTCTTGTCCTCAATGTGTTTCTCAATCTAATACTTATATTCATACTAACCAGGCGGAGATCGAGTTCCAGCAATGACAATCGTTGTGATAATGTTCACATCGGTCAACATATTTCCAATTTCATTTGACATATCCGTAAATAATTCACAACTAGAGTTTGATTCATGAAAACTAGCTGCCCTACAATAAACTTGTGCTAAACAAGTCATTTGACATTTTATATTAGTCGAAATAACGGCACTAACAAATGGTGGACAAGTTGTAGTAGCACATTGAAATTTCCTGCCACGCATTGCAAACATTCGAAAGGATCTCATATCTTCTCCGACTAATTGTGTAATAATCACAGAAAGAATCCATAAACAAGTATTCATTGAAGTCATTATCAACGAGACTGTAATTGAAACAAATATAACTTAACAAATGAAAGAAGTTTTTCGCGCAAGGAATGTTTTTTTATTCTGAATTTAATATATGCTTCTCTTTCTCATCTCATTTTATTAATCTAATGGAATGGAAAGTCATGATGCAGATGTCAATATTGGTCTCGAAATCTAGTTTCTCTTAAAAAGTAATTAGTTCTCTTTAAAATTGAAAAGTCAATTCCTATATATTTTTGGAAAGACACACTTTCTCTTTTGGTAAAGAGATTTTTAATATTATATGTAGCGAGCGCGCCCCTCGCCTTTGAAGATATCAATCGATATAGTGAATAGTTCTCAAACACTTGAGCTTCCTAAAGCCTCCCCCTCCAAAATGAGTTTTCGACATAGTATATGACACTCTCATAAATCCTCTTACAAATGCTCGACGCATAGAGCTACGCGTGGAAAAAGTTTTCAGGACTCTAGCCCTCAATATATGGGTTCTACGGATACAAGGATTTTTCATTATACCTTGAGATAGAACACTCAGGGTGGTCTCATTTGAAAAAAAAACTCTTTGATACTTCAAATGATGGAGCCAGTTTTTAAAATTTTGTATGTTATTAAGAATCAAAAAAATATTTCTTCTCGTCATCTGAAGAAGGATATTTCCATCTATCTATTAAAAAACCGTAGCTTGATAGAGGAAAGTATAGTGGAGAAAAATTTGTTCAACTAGTCATTGTTTATCTGTGAGTAAATCCATGGGAAACCTACCACATTTACGTCGACCCTCTCAGAATTACCTGAAACTTTCAGAGGTTGTAGAGCCC